GCTGTGGGGGGGGAAGCTGTGGGGGGAAGGAGAGAGTGCGGTAGATGCAGCACAAGTCTACCACTGCTATAATCTGGTTCACGCGTAACTCACGGTGCTTGTCACCGTGCCTAGCTAATCGAAATCGAAAACAAAACTGTCATATAAGTCAATTTTAGCGTTGCCTCAGCATCCTTTGTTATTTTCACGCAAAGCTGTATCACAAATATCCATCTTATCAGTCCTCAGAAACAGATGCGCTGCTGTTCTGCGCGCTCAATTCAAACTGTCGTTAATGCTTTACTTAGACAAATTTCCCTCTGCTTTACTTTCATCAAGGCCGGTACAACCAAATGTCTGCAGAAAAATCAAAGTTGAAGGCTAATCAAACCGACAAACTGGCCTTCAGTGCAGACTTGTCCGCCTTAAAATCGACCATCCTTTTTGCTTTATTAGCCTTCAAAGGTACTGCTACCATAAATAAGGTTTCAGCCAAGTTTCAGAAGCTTGGCACTCGAGCCCGGCCAGTATTAACAGACACGTAGACCTCGATTCGCACTATGCCGGTTTCCGCGCTTGGTCCACTAACCTGCGCCCAGTCTGAAACGACGGCAAGCCGTCCGTGCTCGTTCAAGTAGAACTTCACCGGTTCTACATCCCCCCTTTCCCCCGGAAAACGTGACCCACAGTCCAAACGTTAATACCTCCCCCTTACCTGCACAACCTAGCACCGCAGAATTCACGTCACCATAACCCTCACCCCAACCTCATCTCAGTTCGTTGTAACCTCTGCCGCCAAAACCTCTAGTGCGACCTTCCCAGCGCGCACTTTTCATTCAGTCTGACGACGAACAAGTGATACCTGTTCGAAAATTCACGAGTTCAACTCGATTTTCCGAAGATCTTCTTTCTTTTCATTATATCATCTCGGAATGCAACTTACTTCACTTATCCAAGTTCATATTTGTCCAAAACTTTGCAAAATATTGCGCACCCCTCTCTCCGTCAGGTTTTTGTTCAGCTTTGACTAATTGCCAAGAACTGTTTGCATGATCTAGCTCTCTTTTTCATTTTTCACTCAAGCAACATGCAAATATATGTTTAGCGGTGATATTCTGTGCATTTATTCAGAGCTGTCTTTCAGGATCCAATTGGAAAAAAAGACACTCGACTTTACCTTCACTCAAATCCAAAGCCGCTACAACCAAACCTGTCCAACAAAATCGAGGTTAAAGACTGATAAACTCGACAACAGGCTTCAAAGCAGACTTATCGTCCACGAAAGCGAGCATTACTTTTTCTGTATTTGCTGTTGCTGTGGATAAGTTTCCAGTTAACTTTACCTTTATTTAATTTTACATAACATTTACGTACCTCTCTGTTAGTTTCAACCAATTGCCATGAACTGTTTATATGATCAAACTCCCTTTTGCATTTTGCACTCAAACAACATGCAAATAGAAGTTTAGCGCGTAATGGCTTTATCCAACTTTTGACACCCCAGCTAGAACGGTGTGCAAGTAAACAACACGACCTGTCGTGTTCCCAATATGTCGCTTTTTATATTTACCTTTATTTAGTTATGAAGGGGGCCGTGTATTTATGAAACACCAGTTCACGTTTTCCAAACATGTTTGCGATCATTCAACAAGACGCTGAGGGCTAAAGAAAAATAGGGAACGCACCTGAGTATAAACCAGTGGCATTCTTATGCTGCTGTAGATTTGCAGATTCTCCATGCCAGTGCGTACATTTCCGATTTCCTAAAAAATGAAGAACAGGATAAACGCAAATGTCTCGTTCTGAATCCATATAAGGTATTCTGCTGGTGGTTTTACGCATAATTCAAGAAAAATAATATATATCATGGGATCATAGCACTAAGCAGAATCTAAAACTCTACTCTCACTTCAATCCTTACTAAAGCCCTAACTCCAACCTTACAAGTGGCCCAAGTAACCCACGGAATTATCGCAAGTCATCCGAAAAAAAGGGGGGCACATTTTTCTTCGCCCGTATCTTGCCGAAATAGTCAATTGGGCGTGGTAGCAACATGACTTCCCGTGGGATCTCATATCCCAGGTAGCTAGAGTGCTCATCTTATCCCGTCGAGACGGCTTGAGTCTGTCACAAACGGACCAAATGAATTATCCAAATCTGCCATAATCCCCTACTGACGAACGACGTCATCTAAATAAGGACCTTGATAAACTTTCCAAAATACACCTTATTCTAGATGGCATTTTGATTTAGCTATACGAATCTGTCCTTGGTGCAGGGACCAGAAGCATTGCAAACCTTTTATTTGAAATGCTGACCAATTTCTTTCTTAAATTTGCTTACGATTAGAAAGACAGATGTAGGCAGGTTGATATACTAGTTACCCTGCAGGCTACTGCTAAGACATGTCTGTCACGTGAGGGTACCAGCTTTCAAACAAGTGTTTTTCCAGCCGCTGTCGAAAACTACACTTTAAAAACGCTTACTTTAAAAGGATATATTTTCCATTGATTTTCGACGACGTCCTAAATTTAACTGCATCTAAGCAAGGCATGCAGGAAGATTTTCCTTCTTGTACTGATTTGGTAGCAAACAACGTCTTTTGTAAATGCACTTAGGAAAGCTTATCTTTGGGTTTTGAGGATTTTTAAACTTCCGAGAGATTTCAAACCCCAACTTACTCCTACGGTTTAAAAACCACATGGTGCGTAAATTCCAAATAAGAAAATCACTGATTTATTTACGCTATACGGGAGACAGCACATAATATCATACAGAGAAGGTGGGCCATATTGTATACATTAATAAGCAACAATAATAGATGCACAGATATGATGCTATATGTATGAACATTTCATGTTCATAAAAAATCTCATAACTAGAAAGCATTTTAAAATTGAAACATACCATTTACCAAGTATAGAATTTCAATAGAACGTAATTTTTCATGTAAGTGATGAGGCAAACTTCAATCAATAATCTATTTCATGCTATGTTATTAGTCTATTTTTACAAAGTGCAGTTTTCCCAGAATGTTGGGAAGAGGCTTATTCAAAAACCAGAATCATGCCGTGAATTAAAAATGTCTAAACAAGAATTAATTAACCACGATAACGTAACCTTTTCAACGATCGAACTAGTATATGCGCAATCAGGCACAGCAAATTTCTCATTTAATCGCAACACTTCATTATATGGAAGCAATCAAGCTAACAAAAATACTATTTTTTGAAAAGAGTGACCCGTGTAAAGTCACTTGTTAAAATGAACCGTTAAACAGATACTTGAGGATCGCTAGAGCGGGAAAGAACGCCATACCACATAAAAATAGTACTAGGCTCATAAAACTTACACCCAGGAGGACGCCAATCTGCCTAATCTCCGGAATATGACCGTTTAGGCCGGCTTTTTGCACTAGGCGTACAGCCCACTGGAAAGGCACCCAGTACTCGGGCACATATCTTTCGCCCGTCCGCAGGTAATACTGTTTGGCGTACACCTCAAGGGAGCGTATTTCCTCATCAGTGATGATCTTGCCAAAGGTCTCGCGAATTTCTGAGGGTCGAAACAAACAATGATTAATGTAGGCATGTCTGACACAGACTCCTACATCCTTATATATGTTGAAAAACGAACGTATAGTGTCTATTTCAAGGTGTTATAATGAAGCGAAAGACGGTCTTCGAAAAATCGAAGTTTAACTCGTAAACTTTCTGGGTTGTGATGTCTAGAGGCTTGCGGTGTCTGCTCAGTTGGTACCGACAAAGACAAGGAATGGCCTCATGCAATTCCTACAAACATTTATGGAGCAGGGACGTCACCGATCACGTTATGGAAACGCAATTTTCGCATTGAGAAGAAGACGACTCAATCGCTGGTACAGTACTTTTATAATCGCCTGACGTTTCGAAATCCATCGCGGATTCGTCATCAGAGACATTGGCAGAATACAGTGGCCTTTTCGCATTTTCCTTTAGAGGTAACTAGCCGGTCCCGGTAACAGCCAAACTGTGGCCAATAATATATACAGAATCATATGACTAAATAAAACGGAAATTAGGCTTATAAGCTCGGGATTTTGAATTCGTAAATGAACACACTAACAGAGACTATGAGTACGCATCGACAGGTAAACACTCATTAATAAACTAAAAGGAGGGGGTAGGAGCGGGGGACGACATGGCGGAACTTTACATAACCGTGCCGATTTCATGCCGCCTACATCCCAATGGTCGCATGACCTAGTGTTAGTGGGCCTCATTGACCAGGCTTAGGCCGTGATACCTGACCACGTGGGCGTTACTTGCGAAAGTGGGGGTGGACGGGATGATAAATTATCTGTTGGCGAATTTTGTGTCAGCCACCTACGCCTCCAGCACTTCCTGCTCGGTCCGGCCACCACACATTCAAATTTGATGAGGTCGAAATTCTCGCAAGAGGGGACAATCGGGTGAGGCGAGAAGTACCTGAGTCAAGGTTCACAGGCCCCAATCCATAAACAGGTGCAACGATTTGCCCAATTCATATTCGGTGCTGAGACTCAATTTGGCCAAAGCAAGTCGTCACTTGGGGAGCGCACAGGCCATCGCGTCGTCTTACGCCAACATCGAAGGGCCAGATGACCGAGCAATCATCACGCCCGAGTCCACCACGCGTGATGAAAGTTCATCAGGTCAGAGCCCGCATGCTGTCCAACAAACTATCAACACGCAAAAAGGCAATAAGTGTTAATTGTCTTTGTATATTTGCAGTAATGACAGTATCCGATAAATGCTGCAAACTCCTGTGCATACGCTACCCATATCTGTTATTGCTATCTGACTATATCTCTGATGACGAATCCGCGACGGATCTCGAAAGGTCAGGTGAATAAATGTATTGTCCCAGCGATCGAGCCGTCTTCTTCTCACTTCCTACTCAGTCTTAGTGCTGATCCCTTCTAGCATCACATGGTTCGTGATATGCACATTTTGTAACCAGAGCCAAAAAAACTGACGCGTTTTGTGAATTTCTACGTTATATCGATTCATTTTCTAGTCACTTTCTTACCAATATGGAGCACAAAAGCCTTCGTCTATCTCTTCCTTAGTAAAACTGAACTGAACTTAATATTTATGCTTGTTTCGCTCTAAATGTCAGAAATAATGGCTCCATGTGGCGCCAGAGCGTTGCAGACATGACCGAAATCCAAAAATACTACTTGTCATTACCTAGTCCATTTAGGGCAGCTCAGATATGGCTATTTCTGGCTTATTAGCCATCGTCAGCCAGTCCCCCCTGTCCTCGCTGGTAATAGTATCTGCCTATACTATCAGCTATTACGGCTGTTGGTTGGTTGGTAGCCCATGTTGGATCAGGGGTTCCCGCCGGAGTC